CATAAGTTTATTTTTTATCTCGTAAACCAAGTTGACTATGACAACGAGTGCTAGTTTATTGAATTCAACGCGAAAAGTTCTACCAAAGACAATTTTAACTTTTTTTCGAATTGCCTTTGCCTTTTCAGGATATTTCAGAAACCAAGTCGGCTACCTAAATTTCGAAAACGGTAATGAATAGGCAATCGAATTCTGCCCAATTTTAAACATTTAACGGATACTCTATCTTTACAAATGTAGAAGTTACCCATACAAAGATTCAGAAAATAGCCACTCTGTATGTGCTTAACGAAAATTAAATTAATTGCGTTTATTCTGGCAAGTGTATATGAAATGGCACTTGCTCGGATTGGCAAAAGGAAGGTAAATAACAAACAAAAAGTATAGGAACGCGAGTGAAGGTGAAGGAAATAGTGACAAACAGTTTCACGTAAAAAGCGGAATTTGAATGTTGCACGTTTAGGTGCAATGTTAGGCCAAAATCTCATGGTTTACGCCTTCTTTTTGCTCATTTCTCGGGAAGAAATTGAGCTTGAGCACTATGCAGCCTAAATACTGTTTTCGAGAAGTAAAGCACAGCTTGTGAAATGTTGACACAAAAGTCTAAATTTTAAGAAAAGAATTAGTTTTTAGCCTATTTGTTATTGCAAATCGCCCTTTTTGCCGCCAAACTTTAAAAAAAAATTTGACTACGTAAGAAAATACACTCAGTTTTAGAAAAAGTGGAGGTTCTGATTTTTTGAAATTCAAAGTCTTCCAACTTTTACATTAACTACTCAATTTTAAAATAATTTTATTCACTTTGCAGCTTAATAATTTGTCTATTTTTCCAAGGAGTAAGATTTGACGCTTCATTTTTCATTGCAAATAATGGCGAAAACATCAAGCCAAGTATTTTATCATTTTTCGAAACACCTTGTGCGTTACTATATTGCTTAAAACCAAAATGTAGTTAGTTCTTTTGAAACCGAAGTGTTTTGTAAATGTCAAATCATTATTCTATCTTGAAAGTTAAAGGAAACAAAATGAAAGGAAATTTACTAATTACCCTGTGTTTTTCACATTTTTTCCTCTTGAATGTGAGTTTGCTTGTTATTGTCTTGGGGCTGCAGAATTTATTTGATTACTATTTTTTGTTCATTTGCTTATCAAACACGCTATCCATCACGGATTCTACTTATTTTTTGCATGTATCATTTTATAATCAAATATTTCTTAACCATCTCCCAACTCTGAGCATATGTGTTCTGAAATACACTGTATATACATCTTTTTCTGATACAGTCTAAATGTATCATTCCGTTTTATATGTTGTGACCGTGATGATAATCAGTAATTAATTTTTCAATAGTGGGATTTTCGGTCAACGAATGGTGGCAAAATAAAACACTACTTTTTCCTGTGCCAACGTTTCGACTTTATTCAAGTCATCCTCAGCGCTCTAAAATGGAAAACAGAGAGCCTGGTGGAATTCCAACACTTAGTGTGTGCCATTGTTATACAATAAAATTTAAAAATTAAAAAAAAAACTTAAAACCCAACTTCACATCAGACTATCCAGATAAAATACTAAAAAATTACATTAAAATTAACATTGGTTTAAATAAGTCAATCATGGTCAGTCCCGTCTCACAAGAGTTTAAAATTACATAAAATAAAACGATCAGGCGGTCAAAACTATAAAACACACTAAAAGCAATAATCTCATGTCAATAAGATTTAAATTAAAAAATAATAAAAAGCAGTGAACAAACGACGAAACTAAGTTGGTAAGACTTTTTAGACTTTTTTACTTTTTTTTTTTGACCATGATTGACTTATTTGAACCAATGTTAATTTTAATGTAATTTTTTAGTATTTTAACTGAATAGTCTGATGGTCATGATTCAATTTTTAATCTGTTGTGTAGTTAAGTTTTAAGTTTTTTTTCTTTAATTTTTAAATTTTATTGTATAACAATGTCACACACTAGTGTAAGTCCTTGTGTCACTGTAAGTCTTGAAACTCCACCAGGCTCTAGGATAAAAACCCCTCTGATTTCCATTTTAGAGCCCTGAGGATGACTTGAATAAAGTCGAAACATCCGTTGACCGAAAATCCCACTATTGAAAAATTAATTACTGATTCTGTTTTATGTTTTTCTTGTTGATTTTGGCCTATGCGTTTTTATATCAGACTTATTAATTCATCGTTTGTTTCAAAATTATTTTTCTGCTTAAATTATAAATCGTCTGTTTTTCTCATTTTTTCATCTGAGATTTTCCAGACAAATATATTTCAATTCAACCTGGATAATTTTTGATTTTTTAATTTGGAAAAATTCGAGTTTTTTTTTAGCTTTCCAGTAGCAACTAACTGGACTAAGAAAAATTAATTGTTCCTTTATGAACAAATCGGAATTAAAAATGTTTTTATGGTAATTCGCCAGGAATATATTTTCATATTGTTTAATTTTTATACTGGATTTTAAGTCGAATACTTTATGTGCAGAATGAAGCAGAAAGAAAAAGCAAATTTAGCAGTAAAATTACGACTTAATTCACTTCGATAAGTAAGAATTTCATAATTCTTCGGATATGACATACATGTAATGCTACAACAAACTAGCAGATATAAAATATTTTTTTACACTTTGGAACCTTTCAGATTTGTAGATGCAAAAAACGTACAGTTCAGATGTAGATCTTTACAAGAAATTGAGAAAGAAAATGTTTTTATTTCTATTCTCTATAAAATGGTATTCATTGGCTTATCAACATATTTACTCCGCCAATCCGCCGCCGACATCCAAATTCCGCATTTAAATGCTGAACGAAACTGTGTTTGAAAGTTACAAAAATTTAACTACCAACGGAATACACGCAATTCAAGAATAAGTAGAAATTCTGACTTTTTCAGAATCATATAAATGTAAAGTATTCTAACTTTTACACTAACTACCGGTTTTTAATTTATTTTTTGCATTTTGTTGCTGAATTCTTTTTCCATGACTTCTTTTTTCGTGGCAAATACTAGCGAAAACAAATTTTATATTTTGACTACTTTTTTATCTGTAAAATGTAGATAGTTGTTTTGGATATGAGGTTATTTGTAAAAATTGTTAAATCCTTGTTTCATCTTAAAATTTTACAAAATTACAACAAATTTACTAATTACCGTCTAACTGCTGAGTATAAATCCTGTATTTATGTTGAGTTTTTGCTTGTATCAAAGTTATTTTCGGTCGACAGTTTTAGAAATGAAAGTTAAACATAAAAATCGCCTGCAACGGGATTTTCCGAACAAAAATTCAAACTAGATATCCTTTCCTTAATTTTCGTTCTCAATTAGTTGATTTGCAAGAAAAAAATTACTTAACTATTACAGAAATAATAAATATACTTCGACTCATTCAATTTCTTGAAAACTCACGCAGCAACTAAGTGCGCTGGTACGTTTAAAAAATTACTTCATTTTTTTTCAAAAAAATATAAACTAAAAATGCAATGATAACTCGCCAACACATTTCCATATTCCTCGCTTTTTCAAAAAGTTGCATAGATAAATTTGGCCTCAATTCCTTCCTCCAACTAATTTCTTATATTAGAGACATATAAATATAATATTGAGCTCATTGTAACTTCCAGCTACAAAATGTGCATGAGTTAAAACCCCGAATTTAAACTTCTAACTATAAATTAAGTCCCAATTTAAAACATTATTTTTTTCACGCCCATTTCAAGAACGTTTCGTCGGATTTGTAATTGAATTTTTGAAGAATACTTTTTCAAAGTTACGAAATTTTGCGAATTATATCTGTTTATATCTACAAATGGAGAATGTATATAATGCACATACCAAATGTATACTATAATAGCATGAGCTACCAGCCAATTCAAAGTTTTAAGGTGTTAAGTAGATTACTTGCGCCCTGTACATATCGAAGTGTATTGTATGTAAAATTATTATAGTCTTTTCCTTCCTGGGCCTCAGTCAGTGTGAAGTAAAAATTTTGAATATCGTTTATTTCATTAGGTTTCGGCGAGACAACAGTGCCATCATCATATTTAAAATTTACACAAACTACAAACACCAATTCACAATTAAAACATGTTGTATAAAAACTATAATTTATAAAGCGTTAAAACATTCATCAGTTATTGAGGGAAAAATTCTTTTGGGAGAGCAAAACATTTTAAAAACTTACCTCATAATTGGTAAATAGTAACGTTCTTTTAGGTCGTTGTCTTCTTGAAACCGTAAATTTGTTTGATTTATTTTCTACATTTGCGAGAATGATGATATATATAGTTTATATATATTGGGATAAGCAGAAATAGCTTTAATTTTTCACTAGTGTACTGGGTGTTCTATATCATTTTTTTTTGGCTTTATTATTATTTATTTTCCTTCAAGAACTGATGAATGTTTTAACGCTTTATAAATTGTAGTTTTTATACAACATGTTTTAATTGTGAATTGGTGTTTATAGTTTATGTAAATTTTAAGTCTGATGATGGCGCTGTTGTCTGGCCGAAACGTAATGAAATTACTTACTTACGAAATTATTATGAAAATTTTTACTTCACACTTTGAGTGAGACCCAGAAAAAATAAGAATATAATAACAAGTACACGCAGTCAGGAAAATAAATCAGAATTGTATGTAAAAGTGAAGAAAACCCTGCTCATCTAAGGAAATTATTGGATCTGAGCTCTCTTTAAGAAAAATCAAATAAAAGTCTGAGTAAGACAATTAAGTGCCGGATTGTTCCGAATAAAATTGTCAATTTCTATTTGCTATTCGCTCCACGATTCGACAAATTTAACTGAAATTCATTAACAACACTTTCAATCAGCGTCATTGACAACCAAAGCTAATTTGCAACAAAACGCAATAAAATTCGTCCAAGACGTTCTGCTTTAAATTTCACTTTCACCCTAAAAACAAAAACCACTTTCTAAAAACGGAAACCTTCATTTTTTTCCGTGCCCATAGAAAATAAAACAAAGAACACTTACATAATTCGGTTAGAAATGTGAATCCCACAACACACTTGACACGACCACTAACTTTGAGGCAAATTTCAGAGATGCGAATTTCGCGTAGATTGTGGGAAAACGGAAACCGGATCCAGGATGGAAAACAGTGCAAAGGGCATCATCCGACTGACAATTCGCGGAGCGATTTCAAGATGCGAAAGATTTTCCAGGGGTGGGGAAAATCTGATGGTGCGGTTGCCGTTTTCCCATCGGCTTCAATGAAAGAACCGATCATTTCTTTCTGGGTGAGTGAAATTCGCCGTGTCGGTAAAGCATGAAACAAAAGCCAATGGAAAATATTGGCCACAATGACGAGTGCTTGCTGGTAGCCGAACAATCAACACGGAATAAAGGTCTTTGATTTTTTTTTAACCTACCCGAAAATGCAAAATTGGATAGAAAAGGTGTTCATCGAAATTAATTTGAATTGATTGTGATGATTAAAGTTGTAGTAAGAAAATCTATTCAAATATGGCTAAATTGTAAACTGTATTACTACAACTTTCACACCCTGTAGGTTTGAAACTATACGATTTCAAGAAATGCCTTGACTTATCAGACACCTGTATAAAATTTAGGTGCGTTTCTAGACGGTTTGGCAGACAGTGTTTTTGATACGCCCATACAAGACGCTTTTTAATACGCTTACACTTGGATTTACGTAAATCATAATGTATATACAGTGTGTTCATTATTGCGTTGCCTTGGTTAGAAGAGAAAGCAACTTTTTGCATAGTAATTCAGTTGCGCAAGTTGCTATTAAAAAATTTCAAATTTTCTGTTATTGTAAAGACTTGTAAGACTTGTAGAAGAATTTTCCTAAAATTGAATGAAGAAGAATTGACAAAGTGCAAATAGTAAAGACATACGAACAGAATACAAGAAACGGGTAAATAAAGAGATGAACGGACGGTTGACGATGTCCAAGCGGTATTTGACAAAATACAAATTTTATTTTGTATTAAGTAATGTAAAGTGATTTTTTGGCTGGTCTTATGGTAATAAAACCGTGCTTCAATTAAAATGTTAAATATCTAAAAGCAAATACTTAAAAAGATAATATTCGCATTAATATTTCGTCGAGTAAAAATGATAAACCTAGCAACTTTTATTTTCTCAGCCCAAATTTTATTTCAAACATTTATTGTTATTTACAAAATGGTTTTTAAGAAAAACATTCAAATTCTATCATCTAATTCAATTAAATTAATATAGATGTTCGTCGCTTTTTCAATTTTGTGACCAATCATTTAATAACGTTGGTTCAAACGATCTTTTGCAACACGCTGTATATTTTCACATGAGAACAAAGTAATAGAAAACGGATTATTCTGGTATATTCACTAACAGTTTCCATAATAATAAACAAACTTCTCAAAAGATTTTGTTCCTGAGTCGCATAAGGTGTATCGTTTTCAGTAATTAAAAATTGGTTTAGTACAATTCTCTGGAAGTTGAAAACAGTTGACTCGGACTAGCAGTGAAAAGTATTTTTTCAATTCCACACTGTTGTTATTAGCTCGTTTCCTTCCGGGAAATATTTGATGGAATATGTTCTATGAAAATAATTTTTCACAAAACATTATGAATATCTTCTATTGCTTGTTTGACGACAAAACGCATATATTAGTTTAATGTCGCTAGTGTTAAAAAAAAAAAAATTATAAAACATCGTAAAGAAAATTATCATTAAATATGATTGCTGATCGAGATTTGCTAAAACTAGAAGTTTTTGATTTGATTGTTTTAAAAATGTAAACAAATTGGATTTCTATAAAGATGTCTCATTCGTAAAGAAATTGATAAATTTTGTAACAACGTTACAACTACGGACGTGGGCAATAATATGTATCCATATTAGAATGAAGAAGAAGATCAATAAAACCCATTTGCTTCTATGCCAAAAATACCACTTTAAAATCACTGGACTTCTTTAATAATATGTTTTTGTCTTTCCGGAACGTGTGGTACCGTTCCCTTTCGTGAATGAGCCCTCTTATTGGCTTCTTTACGCTTCTCCTTCTCTTTGATGGTCCTCAATTCCCTCTGGGCATTGTATACATGTTTAGGCACATGACGATGTCTTTTGATTCGCTTGATTTCAGGATGGCTGGCAAACTTGCATTTCAATGCTTCAGCATATTGTAACGCATTTCGTTCTTTGGGCCTCAACTAGAAATTTTTAATTGTAATTAATAGTAATTTAGTTGGAGAATTGCTACATACCGGTCCCAATTTTTCAGACGCTCTAGCTTTCCAAATCCTAATGTTCATCTCATCCGATCCGCTAATAATAAATTTATTATCTAGCGACCAATGAACGCAAGTCAGTCGTTGCATTCTTTTTGTATGATAAACATCCCGAGAGTGACCATGGTCGCATTCGAATATTCTTATAGTTTTATCATAGCTGCCAGCCACAAATTCCTTTCCAGTTGGGGCATATTCTACAGAGGTGACTGCTGCCACATGATCCATATGAACGTTAACTGGCTTGTTTAAATTTCGTGTATCGAACGTGTATAGACTGAAAATAACAAAAAATGCAGCATTAATAAATGAACAAAAAATTGAAAAAGAAACGGGGCATCTGGAAACGACACGCGGGTTTTATATGAAAAGTTATACAATTGTCTTATGACTATTTTAACAAGTGCAATCTGAGTCTCGGTTTGTTGCAGAGAGACACACATGTGGAAAGCACAATATTTTCGTGAGCCGAAATATAAGTGATTTTTGTGCCAAAAAGAGAAAAAATATTGCTATTCTTATAAATTTCAATTGATTGATTGATTCAATAGTTGATTATTTGATAATCTTTCCACACATGGGAGTCATGTGTGAATCAATCGTTTTCAATCATTTATTCTCGCAAACCATTTTGGACAAAAATGTGCCAGATAGACCGGTGTAAATGATACACTTTCATTTACTAGCACTCAAAAGCGCACCAAAATCACTCCATTAGCTGACTGTTGGCAAAGATTTCCAAAACTGAGATCCAGTTATTTTTAAGGTCACAATTGAGCTTCTAATTTTCAGTACATTACTGCTCGAAACCCGCGCAAACAAGTTGCACTCTGCCGCAGAAATGGATTAGTATATTTAGCTTTTAGACGCTTTCACTGACAATATGCAGATATTGATGAGTAAAGAAACTATCTACAAAATTTAGTAAAATAGATGCTTACTTATAGTCTTCGTTGGCGCATGTGAAGGTAAAAGCTTCCATTGGATTCCATGCCATTTTGTTCGGCCTTAGTTTCATTACAACTTTTCTCAAGGGACCATTGTCTCTTGTATCATATAAAATGATGCTCCTATCGCTTGCACATGCAGCAAAAATGTTTGCTTCGACCATATTGAAGGCGATGTCATGAAGACTATCGACGCCCCATTGGTAAGTCCTCAATGGTTCATTTCTGCTCTCCTCCCAAAGTTGCACCACTTCTCCCGCAGTTGCAAAAATCGCCTTTTGCCTGTGGTGACTGATTGCCGTAATAACAGTTTTGCTTAGTACTGTGTTCACTGGTTCCTCGTCCTCTCCAAGCTGAGGCTCCGCAGCATTCCACGTTTTCACAGTTTTATCATCACCCACAGTAATAAACTTTAGCCCTTTCGGAGTGTAGGTTATGCCTCTAACAATGCCATTATGTGCAACGAATTGTCTCAGGCAGACTCTTCGAGGAATGTCCCAAATTCTCACTTCTCCATCAAAGGCTCCACTAACAATGGTGGAGAGCTGTTTGGGATGTTTGGCTATACACGAGACACTGTCACGATGACCATCTAAATTCCCCAGAAAAGGCTTTGCAAATACCCTTTCTAATTTCACGGCATTTAAGGCTCTAGTGTATTCTCTGGCTGTTTCGAAAGGGTGCAGATCGGGATCATAATTACGAAAAACTACGGAATAAATCGGATTTTAAGTAGTACTGGGGGCACATTTTGTAACGTCGAATTTTACCTTTGTGAATTTGCTGTTTGGTTTCCCGTAGGAAAACATCTGTGGATCGACTAATTACTTTCACTTTCATTTTTGTCAGCTAATTAAACAAGAGACAAGTATGTATAAATGTATGTACTTGTCTCTGATCAAACGATTTAAAAGTCAGCTTCAAAAATAATGCTCAGCTCAATCCTTAACCTCAACACTGTGCTCAACACACACCTCAACATCTTCGTCTAGCCCACAGATCAGAGAGGTTATCTATTATATGTGGTCCAGAGCGTGCCACGCAGGTTAGTAAACATTTTCTGAATCTGTAAAGAAACCCCTGCAAAACACGCACAGAATCTACGTTGGCGACACTGCTAACTGCTAAGGCCTAAATTAACCTTAAATTTTTTACTGCAGTCAGCTTCAAGGTTAGATTTGTATTTGCAAACAAACAAAACACATTCCTTTATCGAATAGGCTTCAAATAGTACCTTTAAATAACCATGTCTGATGACGAAGTAAGCTACGCGAAAAAAATCAAAACAATCCACTACGGATCGCTGGAAGATGCCGAAAGAGCCCGCTTGGAAAATACCCACGATGATGGTAAAAGTGATACCTCTGATTCGGACTCAGGAGTGCCTCCGCCCCAGCATGAAGGTAACAATGAGTATATGGAACTTGAGGAAGCAATGTCCAGAGACAAACAAGCACTGCTTGAGGAATTTGAGAGACGCAAGAAGGCGCGTTCTATTAATGTGTCCACTGATGATGGCGAAGTGAAACGTAATCTCCGACAATTGGGAGAACCCATTTGCCTGTTTGGAGAAGGCCCGGCGGAGCGGCGTAGTCGTTTGAGGGACATTCTGAGTAGATTAGGCGAGGATTCTGTTATAAGGAGAGAAGCCGAGGAAGAAAGAAAGCTGTATGAGAAAGACCAAGAGCAGACCTGGTACCATGAAGGTCCGGAGTCGTTGAGAATCGCTAGGTAAATATCTAGAATTTAACCAAAAAGTATCTGCTTTACATTATTATTTTATGCTTAGACTATGGCTAGCTGACTATTCGTTACCCAGAGCCAAGGCCAGACTTGCAGAAGCAAGGAGTTTAATGGAATTGCCAGCCACCACTAAGACAGCCAAGTAAGTGAGCTAAATAGGTTTTAAGCCAACTAATCCAAAAGCTAATGTTTCCGAAGGTTCCAAGAATTGCAAAAGAAACTCCAGCAAATGGCAATTCACTCCTCCCAAATTGGAGACAATCGCCCTATTTCTTATTGTACATTTTCTCCCAACTCAAAACTGTTGGCTACTGCATCTTGGAGTGGTTTGTGCAAGGTTTGGTCAGTACCCGACTGTGAGCTGAAGCAGACTCTCAAAGGTGAGAAAAACATTTAAATTGTATAAGTTTGATTATTCGCGTTAAGTGGGGCTTTAACTGTGGGAAATCTAGTCAATCTGAAAGTGAGTAGTTAGAAATTTTTTATTGGTTTTAGCGCATTGTTATTAAAGGCTCTTAAGCAATGTATAAACTGCATGTAGCCGAGGGCGGATCCAGCTTTAAAGTCGGGGGAGGGTTATGTAGAAAAATACAGTCTTCTGTTATCTATAAAATTAGAAAAATGATAGTCGTTATGCGCAAGGGTGGCGCAAGATTATTGCAAAATTTCATGTTTTCCGTCCCGTTTTGCATATTTCTCGGAAGCAAAATGAGCAAGAACGCTCGTTTTTACATCATTCCAGAGATAACTAAATGGCATTTATTCGAAATTTCTCAAGAACCATTCGAACCACAGAATTCGTTTTGGCATCGTTGGATAGAGAATTGAAAACTCAATTCAGTCGTAATAACGTGAGTGGGGAAATTCGAATAGTTTCAGCCCAGAAAGCAAAATTTGAATATCAGACATTTAGGTGCAAGATTATGCCAAAATTCCATGTTTCCCGTCCCGTTTTTGCTCATATCTCGGAGGAAAAATGAGCAAGAACGCTCATTTGTACATCATTCTAGAGAGAAGTAAATGGCCTTTTTAGAAAGTAAACTATTGATAAGGAAATGCTGGCAGTTTTATCAAAAAATGCTTGAATTCAGGAAGTTTTAGATTTGCGTGGTTTTTTTTTGAGTTGCAAAATCCGCTTGAACATGACGCTGCTTTATTCAAAGTTTCTCAAGAACCATTCGAGCCACAGAATTCGTTTTGGCATCGTTGGATAGAGAATTGAAAACTCGATTCAGTCGTAACAACGTGAGTGGGGAAATTCGAATAGTTTTGACCCAGAAAGCGAAATTTGAATATCAGACACTTAGGTGCAAGATTATGCCAAAATTCCATGTTTTCCGTCCCGTTT